GGCTTCTTCCCCACTCCCTTTCTCCTTCCTGGTAATGCCCAGCCAGGTCATGAGAGAAGAACTTGTGGGATTGTCCCCTGTGCGAAGGGGGCCAAGAACCATCCTACAGTCCAGTAGAAAGCAAAGTCTTTTGGTCCCCTTTGGCCTGCTAAGATTTGGACATTAGGTCTTCTGGAAGGCCAGATAAGGCAATTGAATACCACTGCTGCAGGATATTGGGTAACTAAAGCCACAGTATCACTGTGTATTCCTACCAGTTATGTGCCTAAAATAAAATGGTTCTTCTTCGGGTAGTCCCCGTGGGTGCTCCACGTCTGGTGTCGGGCTGGTCCCGGCGCCACGAATCGGAGCTTGCCCTAGCTGTAGCCGACCGGGTCGCGCATGCGCGAGCAGCGTTCGCGCCTTTGAACAGCCGCGCGCGACCCGGTCTCCGCCAGTTCCTCTCATCCGCCCCTGGTCGCGGACGGGGCTCCAACTTGTCTTCTCCCTACCTCAGGAAAAATTAAAGAAATACTGTAAAATAACATCGGCATTTAACTATAGAAGGGAAACTGATTAACAAAGGCGTAATTAACTTTAAAACCGGCGGCTCAAGCCGCGGCTCTGGTCACTTTCTCCAAAAAAAAAAAAAAAAAAAAAAAAAAAAAGAAAGAGATATAGATGAACAAATAGTAATGGACACGTAGGGGTTCACAAAATATACAAATAAGGAAACGGGAACAGAAATTCTGTCAGGGAGAGGAGCGCCAGGCAAGCCCTCTCAACCTTTCAAAATGCCGGGCTCCCCCGGTTTCAAGAAATGCTCGGTATGCAGGGACTCTATGCCGCTCTCAGACGGCCACTCTGCCTGCGTTCGCTGTCTCGGGGAGGCACATATTCCCCAAAAGTGTGGGCACTGTGCCAAGCTCACTTCCAGAGCTCGTAAGGAGCGCGAAAGGCGCCTGAAGGAAATTTTATTTGATAAGGCATTGATGCCTTCGGCTACGGCAGGATCCTCTGCCTCAGACCCCACTCTGGAGAAGCGGAGGGCTCCTTCCCCGAATTCACCTTCCCCGAGTAGGAAGAGAGCCTCTCCAGCAAAGTCCCTGCCAATAGCCCCACAACCCCCGGGCAGC